TTTTAGCTATTTACCAGCTAGGAGCTAAAGAATGGATGATAGCTTGTTTATGAATGTCAAATGTCAAAAATTCGCTCCTTCATCACAAGTAACCAGAAATAGAAGATTAAAAGCCTTGAACAGTTAACATTTGCTCACTGGGGCAGGCGAGAAGTCAGTAGTTTTATGAGAAAAACCTCAATGTCCATGCCTCGATAATATGGGTTGAACTTGGCTAGCTTGATGTTTGTGATACCATGCTGGAAATTTTAGGCCTGCTATATCAACAGTGCGGTAATTCGGAAGATTTAGAGTTGAGCTGTTTATGCTCAAGGGCTTCTGCGATGAATTGATTCCCTTATTTTCGGTCATGGTGGTCATCATCATTATCATCATCATCATCATCATCATCATTGTGGTCATCGTGGTCATCGTGATGGTCTCCATAACCTCTACACTTGAGGCATCTCTTTCTATGGTGGTCATCATCATGATGATCATCATCGTGGTCGTCGTGGTCATCATCATCATGGTCATGATCTTTGTGGCCTCTAGATTTGATGCCCCTATGATGATGGTGATCATCGTCGTCGTCGTGACCGTCATGATCATCATCATCATGGTCATCATCATCGTCCCAGTGTCCTCCATGGCCTCTAGCTTTGACACTCTTATTGTGGTGATGGTGATGGTCATGGTCATGGTCATCATCGTGACCATCGTGGTCGTCATGGTCTCTGTGGCCTCTGGCATTCATACCCTTACCATGGTGGTCATGGTCATCGTGGTCACCATCGTGGTCATGGTCGCCATCATGATCACCGTCATGGCCATCGTCATGGTCTTTGTGGCCTCGAGTCTTCACTTCTTTCCAGTGATCATGGTCGTCATGGTCATCGTCGCCATGGTGATGGCCATCGTCGTCATCATCATCATACTCGTCGTCATCCTTGTCGTTATCATCATCTTTACCATGGCTAGCCATCACAGGTACACCTCGAGGGACCATAAGATCCAACTCTGCAATGATCCTTTTGCCTAAGAGATCCCAGTATGTAGCCTTCTCAACCTCAGTCTTTGGTGATAACTTGTCTACGGACAACCTATAATTGTAAGTATAGTACGTGAAATTCAATTTTAAAACTCCGAACTGTTTAATATACATACTGATCCACAGGGGCCGCGGCTGCGGAAGCAACTAGTAATGCTACCGCAATGGTTCCAGCGATCATATGCATGGTTGTGAATTGAAATGAATATAAAGAAACAAATGGTACCCGTATATTGATCCGAATGGATTGTTGGATGAAGTCTTTAGGAGTGGCTCGTAGATGGCTCGTAGAAAATGGGAAAAGGAATAAGGCTGGGTGCGATGCTAGTGTCCTTTATATGGTGTGGAAATCCTTGGGCAAGTTCTTGTGCTTTGCAAGAATAATATGAGTCACTGACCCAAAATAGCAGCCAGAACATAAGTTACACGTAAAATTCTATTTTTTGAAACCATCACTGTAATAGTGACGATTCGAAGTCTCCAAGGGCATATTTTGATCGATGTGCTGCAGGAACATGGACGGAGTGACAAAAATGCATCTCCAACTGGGAGAAGGGAAACAAAGACATAGTGCTTGTGGGGTTGGACAGCTTACGACGCAACAGATTCTCCCTTCTTTCGTCGGGTCCCATGAGTATCTCAAGCACTATACCTCCGGCTTGCTATTCTCTCTAGCCAGCCATAGGTATCCGTGAAAACGAGTTATGTAGTACTTTATAACACCCATAATTAGGTTGCAAAACCGTTTATGGTCTATGTATATTGGAGGGTGCGAATTGATGGTGGACCTGAGTGCAGGCCAAGCGTTTGATATGCCAGTTGATGTTTATATATTGTATTGCTCCAAAACTTGATTTTTTTGGAATAAAACAAACAAGACTCTACAACACCTGTAGATGCAGAAGAGCTCAGATGTTTGCTTCGTAAATGATGGCTTGTCGATTCAACAATAACAACCCATAAGATCGTATCTTATGATGCCATGCTGTTCGTGACGATGCGGGTTTATCCGACGGGCTAGATATAATGACCTACGGAATCGCCGTGACGGGATAGAACCATGGGTATAGTTTTCATCTTATCGTTTTTTCCAGTATGCACTTTTCTGATATCGATATTAAGGATGACGACCTCTCGATCCGTGTCAAGTGTGATGCGGCAACGAGCATGAAGTGTGCAACTGACGAGAGGAAGTTGGGAGTTGTTTTTCGGCCAGATGGAGTTAGCGTTAGTCCAATCGGATCATGTATTCCTCCGGTTTCCGAACTCGGGCACCCGACCTCCCGTCCATGATGTAAGTTCGATCATGTGACCCAGTGGGACATGATGACTAACCACCCTCGATCGCGGCATCAGGCCTCGTCCATCAGCCCCAGACCTGCCTGCTCTACGAGGACGTCAGGGCCCTGACCGACAAGAAGGCTAGCGATTTGATACCGGGGCATATGCACTTCACGCTGGTCCAGACTACCGTAATCATTCGGTAGAGCCGGCGGTTTCTTTTTGAGATGTACCTACGGAGTAATTACTGGCCTTTTTGGGCTTTCTTATGCTGATATATAGACATGAGGTATCATCATAAGGATAAACGAGGCGGGTTTACATCCTTTTATATTACCGCATGGGAAACTCCTTTTCTCATGTACATGCGCTGTCTATCACAAAGGGCAATGTCACTTGCATACGCATATTTAAGTCGGGGTATATCGAGCCTTGTCATGACGTTCATCGACTTTGAAGGATTGAGGCTAGGCTATGTATACCCAAGCGAAACATGATGTCTCGGGCCGCATGCCGTCGAGTTCCTTGCATACTGATCCCTATATTTACAACCAGGGTTCTGCAAAAAGAGTGGAGTTGAGTGGTCCACTTCCCATCTATCTGCCCAGGTGATGGTTACATGGTATCAGTTATGTGGTTGCCCATCTAAATAACTCACGTTTCCAGCCAGCATGCTTCAGCAGCCTTGAGCGGCTTTATAACTCAAGGAGGCTCCCGTATGTTATATCCCGTCCGTATGAACGTCTTGCATCCTGGTGGATGGTAATACCCATGAGGAGCTGAAAAGGGGGACATTCAATAAAAGCACAAAGCGCGAGCCATGACGGGCGCTGGGAATATCGGTCGCTTGCATAAAAAAGAAGTCATTGTAAGTGCAACACTGATTCCACAGGGCTGTAGAAAACGCAACGTACTGACGTGGGAGTTATTGTCAATGAAGATCTCAACTGTGACTCTTTTTGTTGTTTGCTGGATAGCTGCTATTGCACGAGCATACATTCGACTTCAGGTTCAGAAGCAGTTTTCATGGGACGATTTATTTCTCGCCATAGCGTTCTGCTGTCTATCAATAGCCCTGGCTGTCTTCTACACTGTCGCAATTGACAAAATGTACCTCACACTGGCAGTTCAGTATGGTGAGACTGCTGGAATATCGCTTCCGCAAGACATCATACAGATAACATTCGACTATCAGAAATGGATACAAGTAACGACAGTTATGCTCTGGCTTGCAATCATGTCAGTGAAATTTAGCTTTTTGGCTCTATTCAAAAACCTGGTTAAGGGAATTCTGCCGTTGAGCAGGTACTGGTGGGTAGTGACCATTCTAAATATTGGCATTCTGGGATATGGGTCTGTGGTTACGCATATTTCCTGCCCATATTATTATACACTCAAAAATTGTGAGCATAAGCAGTTTAAAATTTCCAGAATTAATCGTTGTGCTAATCTTCGCTCTAGCTATATGTTTGACCCCGTCTGGCCAGAGACGAGTGTCAGCATTTCTTTTCATACACCTAGCATTGGACCTGTTGGGCGACGTTTTGAGTAAGAAATAATCCGGCTTGAAGATTACAGAATGTTGTTAACAGAAAGTTCATGGTGTCGTTAGTTCTCTTTATACCAGTCCACTTGATCTGGACAGTACGGGTGAGACGGATGCAAAAGCTAGGCCTGACTTTATCACTCTGCCTCACGATACTAATGAGTATTGTGACCATCATCCGGGGAGCGGGAGTCTACTACAAGGGACTCGTCGATACCAACTGGGAGACATATTGGGTAATAATATGTGCAGAGATTGGTATCTGCCTTGCTGCAGCCACATGTTTCCGCTCATTTTTCATTGCACGGAAAGAATATAGAGCCATATCCGTACAGAAGCCTTCTAAATACCGATGGGAAGATCGCTGGTACCGCATGGGCGCTGGCCTATTCAAAGGACGAGTTGTTGTTGATGAAATTCCGAGGAGCCTGAGCCGGCAGGCGACTGGGCTGCCACAATTGAAAGTTCAAACGACTACATCACAACCAATAGGGATAACCGCGCTACCTCGTCTTCCAAGTCCTCAAGTTTCGGCCTTCTCGCAGCCTACGACTTCTCCGCAAAGCAGTGTATTTATCTTTGACTAGAAAAAGGGATTCTCTTATACAAAAGCAATTATTGGCAGCCTCTGCTAGGCTAAAGGAGCAACAATAATAACAACAGGAGGGTGCAAAGAAGCATAATAGGAAGGAAAGTATGTATCTAGAGAAAAGAAGAAAGGGGGAAAAAAAAATAAAGGTCATACCAGGATTCGAACCAGGGTTATCGGAACTTCCAATGACTAATCAGAATCCGATGTGATAACCGCTACACTATACGACCTTAGCTGGTGGGAGGCCGGGGCCATGTGACTTTTCAAGCGCAAATAGCGCTAGCCGGAGCACATCACGTGCTGGCGGCGCTTAACATGAACCACGGATCGGGAAGTTCTTGACTTCAAACTCTTTGATATCTAGATTGCAGAGAAGTAAAAGAAGACGAAGTCGACGAGCAGCCGGTCAGACAGCAGACAAACAAGCAAGCAGAGCTGAGGTTGGAAAGACGGTAGTGGCCTACTGGAGCGGCGTCCCCACTGGCAGTGCAGGTTACACTCAGCCACACTTCTGCCCGTCAACGGAGGATCTTTTTTGCAGAGTGCTTAAAGTACGACAAAGTTCAACGGCCCCCAGAAGAATATTATTACTCCTTGTCTGTACTCCAGCTACTTACACACACAAGTTGAACAGCCTCGAAAACGATCGAGAACCAGATATTGTCCTTTCTTCTTCCTGCGGACTCTCACGTTGTGCAGCTATTCGCCTGTTGCTGCCCAACGGGCCAAGGCATTTCGCAAGGGATACCTCAACCCATCGAACATTGCCTTGCTTTTCATGTTGCAATCCATGAGTTGCGCTATCACCAAAAAGCACCTCAATAGAGCCCCCTGATGCCTTGCGGGATCGCTTCCGATCGGTCGTCCGTGACTAAGATCCACGCATTTCCGACCCTTTCGTAGTGGCGCATTATTCACCAGGCTGCTGGGCAACAATTTTGCTTCCCTGGTACCACTTTCATATACGCTGCCTGCTGTCGGCTGGATTACCTCTTTCCCACTAGCCGCTATGCCCTCCAAGTCTCGAGAACATCATCGACCGCGAGATCGAGGCTCAGACGATCAAAGCAGCGAAGCAACCGAAGGAACTGCCAAACCATCACACCCGTCGCGGACTCGAGAAAAAGACAAAGACCGTCACAGTCGGGCCGCCCATACTTCCTCCCATAGTTCGAGCAAAAGGACTAGGCCTAGATCTGATAAGGATAGGTTGAAGGACGAAGTTGGCCGCTCACCAAATTCACCTACGTCTAGCTTAAAGATTAAGAAACACCCATCAACCACCCTCATGTCCGAAACAAACGAGTTAAAAGTGTCCACTCCCTACCCAAGCTTCTCAAAGGCACACAGCAAGGAGGCTGTGGGAAGTCGGGATAATTTGGGCATACGGATTAACATATTGACACCCGAACCAACAGACCTAACATCTGCGGAAGCTAAAAAGGACGAACAAAAGCCTAGCTTGACGACCGAAGACAAGACCCAGAGCAAAAGACACAGTCAAAGCACTCGACCTCCTAGCCCTCCTCTCACAAATGATGACACAGAGCTACCCCGGTGGAAAAGCACACCCTCTAATGATGGCCGCCGGTCAGAGGAGAAGGAAACCCCGAACAAGTCTTCAGGAGAGGCAAAGAAGCATAGATCTTCAAGGAGCCATTCTACTAGGTCTTCCGCGGGCATCTATAAGAAGCTAAGTGACCAGACGTTGAAAACCAGTACGAGGACCCGATCTAGCACCCCAACCAAATTGAAAATTTTTGAGGCTCTTCAGTTTTCTCACAGATCCTCTCCCACTTCAGCACACCGAAAGTCCAAGTCGTCCTTGAATCGAAAGTCAGCATCACCCGCCGAAGCTGAATCCGATAACGAAATAATAGATGAAACAGTAGACTCAGATGCTACCTCGATCGCGCCAGTACAAGTGAAGACGACGGAACAGCTTCCCAAGCTTCGAAACCGCCCTCGCGCATCAAGGCCTCCATCACACGCTTCTCCCTCTCCACGCCCTGATGTACTGACGCAAGAAACGTTAAGAGACCCGTCCGCTGCCTCTCCGCCTCCGCCTCCACCTCCCCCAGAAATACCGCTTTCAAGACCTAGGGTCGACTACCTGCTCCAAAATGGCGGACTGCCCTATCATGTACCACGAAACTTCCTTGGAGCAGGAGAATCAGCTAATATGCCACAACATCTTTTCGAACCTGCCAACACAGGAATGAAGCTATTCGAACCATTTTCCAAGCTGTTGAGTGATTATAGCCGAGTCATAGAAAAGAACGGGTCGCTGGCGGTAGCGACGGGGTATAGGTCCGTTGCCAGAAGACTATTAGACCGCCTGGAGTCTGTCTTCGCTCGAGATATTTCGTCGGAGTCTTGCGAGTGCCCGATGTGTTGTGGTAGGGAAGAAAATGAAGTACAACCAGGGGTTAGCTGGGGCGAGGTCCTGGAATTAGTTTCGGGCCGAGGCGAATTGCCGACGTGGCCACCCTTCCGGATGCAACCAGAGCTTGATCCGGCGACCATTGAAAACACACAAGAGCACATACCAATGCAGAAGCTTGATATCGACGTACCTGAGGAATATCGAGACCATTATATCAGACAATCAAGGAAAACAAAACAGGCTGTGGACAAATGGCTATCTCGGCAGCCCGACCAGCCCGCTGAGCCTCCAGGAGAGGTTGATGATGAGACACTGACGTTTGCTATTTTAACTTACCTGGATCCCGAACAAAGAGCCCCCTTTGCAAGCCTACTTGAGTTCCCCCTGGGCCCAGCAGTGCCCAAGAAGGAGACGCCAAAGCCTCCGGACAGGCCACCCTGCCTGGTACTAGGAGCTATAGCAATCTACCGTCTCTATAGGCTGCAGAGCTTACCTCGCGACCCTGAGACGGCCTTGTACATGGTGAAGCACCCCGACATGCACAATGTTCTGGCAACGTTAGCCGCCATCAGTGACGACGAGTGGGACATCCTCATCTCAGGCCGTTTTGACGGGTTCCTGAGGAGTGGAGCGGAGGACAACTCTGTGCCAACTTCGGCAACAGAGCCTCCATTCGACCCCCACTCCAGCTTTCAAAGGAACGGCAACCAAACTATGCGTTCAGCCAGCCAGCCGCGTGCCGGAGCTTCCATCTCTACTGCAGCAGCTGGAACGTATGGCGCCCCTATTTCTATCGACGAAGAAACAGAAATTGCCGCGTTAGCGGAAGTCGAAAGGGACATCTTCCTTGGCATGGAGGCGCTTGAAGACGCCTTTGAGATTCTGCATGGAAAGGCGGAAATGGTCCGTCGAGCGCTGCGTGAGCGCGGTGCCGGCCTTACGGCCGCTAGTCAAGCTCGCAGAGGCTGCAGATCGAATATTCAGATACTTGCAGGCACCCCTGTGCCAATGGGGACGCCAGCTGAATTCGAGAGCGGCACGGACGAAGATGTTGATGATGGAGCTTCAATTGCACCCTCGGAATCGGCGAGCAATATCAGTTCCAACCGGAGACGAAGGCCCAAGCGCCGAACGGAACGAAGGACACCTGCGCCTGTCGAGGAAGAGCCTGATGAATACAATGAATATGTCGTTCCAATACGCCCAGGGAAATGACGTTTTTTCAGCACTTGCCATCTCCTACCAGCTGTCCACTCCTAGATTGCTGTTTGATATAGTTCTCCTTCCAGCCCTGGATCTGACCTCTGTTAGCCGACCCGCATCTCTCGTGTCTTAGTTATCCGATGGCGCCAGAACTAGGCTATTATTTCCCAACTTTTCAATCAACCCAATACCCGACTAGGCACTGATTTACGGCTTGGTTCTCCTGTTGCGCTCCTTTCATGTGACATGGTCCGCCATAGCTAAAACAGATCAGCTCCCTTTGCACCCTTGCACTCGCCCTTGATGTCTCTACCTCTCCCTTTCTTCCCTCCCCCCTCCAGTTATCTTCTTCTTGCTTTGCCTCCGTACCTTCTTGTCAGCTCGGAAGATGCCCATACGACTTCTTTCCTCAATTGCCTCTTATTCCCCACGAGCCTTTGGTTTATATGCATTCTGGTCTGGACACAAAAGATACAATGTACATTGTCCTTTCTTCTACCTTTAGATTTGTTTCTTCTCCCCTCACGACGTAACGTTTGCCTTTTGATTTCTTCTCAATTGCATAGCATCGTTAGTTATCTTGTAGCAGTTAGTTTCCACTTTCCTCTGGCTTCCAGAACCCTTAGTATAGTGTTGATCTGGGGACTGAGTTAGCCTTGATCAGATTTAACATAGCCGGTACTTCATATCCAAAACTCTCCTCACTTCTGGATTGTCCGGATCTACGGTTTAATAACAATACTCGCAGGCCGTTTTCTGGTGGCTTGTGGCTTCGTGCTGCTGATCTTGGTCAGTGGTGTTCTTATTTGTCCAGTCGAGCTACTAAATATATATTACCTACAGCCCCTTTTTTTTTTTTTTTTTAAGCTTGATGGCATCGAGCCACAAATAGCCTCTGTACATTAATGTGCTGTCTGGGGGTATTAAATATTACCCGATCTCTAGGTTAGCCCGCCCTCTGAGGCCCGGGAGAGGGACATGGAGTGTGACGGCGAGCAGGGTTGGCTTCCGGAGGCGAGCATCGATGCCCCTGAAAGGCGCGATCCTATGTGTCAAGACAGCGAGGACAGCGTCACATCTAGATGATACGAGCTGTGATCAGACATACTACTAGTACTGAGTCCTCATGGCGCACGCTATCCTGACAGCACTGAGGTGACTGTCCTCCACCCTGCCGCAAGGATAGAGCCTGCTCCCCCGGCTATCAACAACCAATCCATAGCTACGGGATATAATCACACACCACTTAGTTAACTAGCTCATTTAACTAACTGCTAAGTAACGAGGTATCTTGCAGTTATCGTATCTGCAGCCCCTGGAGCCCCGACCGCTCTGCTAACCATGTCGCAGGGACAATTGTCTGTTGCCTCTCTGACGCAAGGAGAGACATGGCATCGCACAGCCGCCACCAAACAGCATAACTGTCTACCCGATTCTCTTGATGTCCTATTTCTTCTATCCTCGGCACGTCGATAGTCGCATCCGGGTACTCCGTAAAAGTAGGGGGCGTTGCATCTCTCGGCTCATGGTCGGCATAATAATAATAGGTATATTCTCCGGACGGAGAGGTGGAAGCGTTCTCACCACTCTAGCTAGTTATGGGCGTCACTAACTAACTAGCATTCATTGGCAGCGTTGTCGAAGCACATCAGCCAGCGTGACAGCTTGTTGATCAGTTAGTTACATTGCGAGAATTGCTCTGGATCTACGAGAATGGTGCAAACCCAGATGCGGTCTGCCGCGCCTGGTGGAGACGTTTTAGATATTTTCCTCCCGTCCGCCGGAAGAGAAGAAAGACCCCGTTTCCTGTCTCATCTTGCTGGTCAGCAGAAGCAGGACAGGCATCATGGGATGAAGGGCGGTTGAACAGCTTTTTGTGCGTGCGTCTGTGCTGGACATCTGCTGGTTACTCGACCGCCATTTTTGCTGGGAGGCGGCTTTGGCCAGCGGACCTGCAGCCAGTCGCGCCTTGTCTCCCATCGGTGTCAAACGCAGAGGAGGCAACATCTCCGAAGGGGGGGAAACAAACAACGGACAAGCCTTCAACGGCCTGGTGGAAGAGCGAAGAAAGGAGAAAGGGACAAGAAAGAAAAAGAAGAAAAAGAAAAAAAGAGAGAACAAGGTCCATTTCCTTCCCCTTGCGATATAGACGGTCCGCAAGTTTAGGGTTTGAATTATTTCTAGGGGGCTTCTGGAAGCTCATGCCCCCGGGGTAGTGATTTCGTTAAGGCGCCTGACATCTACAAGAGTATGTTTTTGTGGCTGAATGGAAGCTCACAGCCGGCCAAGCCAGTTGGCTGGCCAAATGACATGCAATACTATGAGAAGACCGCTATATCAGATCGGAAAACGGACCCTCCTTCACCTTTGTCCGGGAAAGTGAAGCGCATCCACACTGTACGTCCTCGTATGACACCAGCTAGATCGGTGTCACATACCCTGCTAGAGGCAAATCTCTAACTACCATTGCCCCGGATATGATTGTCTTCGAGTTAACCCAGACAAGCATAAGATACGGTGTTGTTGTGGAGAGCGTATCCATCCTCTGGGTCTCTGTGGCCGAAATACCAAGAGTGAAAGACCAATCTTAGAAACGAGAACAAGTCCCATTGATGCTGCAGGAATTTATATCCCCATATATCCACTTCCAAATATGTCAAGCCTCTCAAGATCTTTTCTACTTCCTTTTCCCCAATATATCCGTGTTCTTTCCTATCTTCCAGTTGAATAAGGAGCCAGCCCTTGCTCAATGGACGTCGCTGCAATTTTTGATATACCTACACATTGAACCCTTATACTCGGTTACCGGTCCCCCGTCCCAGCTGGGAACATTCATCCCATCTAATACATACACTTTGACGGGACGAGTGAGCGCGAGACCATCATGCCTATAGGTGCCTCGCTCCTCCGGCATGCCCTCAAGTTCCATTACAGAGCTATACAGGAGACTGCCAGCCTCGAGGCAAGGGGAAATATCACACTAGATGTATCCCCGTTGCCAGACGACTACCGGAAGGGAACCATCATGGTGGTGGCGGCATCATTGGTCGCTGTCGTTGCGGTTCTAGGGCTATTGGGCTTCCTGACACATCGGCTTGTATTCTGGCATAAACATGACGGATCTTATCTTGGGCATAATCAGTTTGTTGTTCTTATCTACAACCTGCTGCTGGCGGATCTCCATGTTGCCCTTGGATTTCTTATTTCAGCCCATTGGATACAGAGCGATGGCCTGTTTGCTAGCTCCCCTTTTTGCTTCATCCAAGGATGGCTGCTGCAGATAGGTGACCCGTCAAGTGGATTATTCGTCGCCGCAATCGCAGTCCATACATTTGCAACAGTCGTTGCTGGGAGAAAACTATCATACAAGCTGACTGTAAGCTGTATCATTGGGCTTTGGTGCTTCTGTCTACTCCTTGCCTTGATCCCAACAATCAGACATGGAAGAGACACATACGTTCCGTCTGGAGCATGGGTATGAACCCCTTCCTACCCTGCTACACATGTCTATGGCACTTTTTCTTGTTATCACGGTTATAAGATGCTGATGATATTTTATAGTGTTGGATTGATGACGACTTCGAAGCAGAAAGATTTTGGGCCCATTACCTCTGGATCTTCTTCTCGGAATTCGGCTCTATCATGCTTTACACCATCCTATTTTTCTATCTTCGGCGAAAAATGAAAGCGTCAGCTGCGCTAGCCCGTGGGCAGAGGGAGAATTTTGGCAGACTGAGCCGGGTCACAGGCTATATGGTTCTCTATCCCCTCGCATATCTTCTCCTCTCTCTCCCCATTGCCGCAGCCCGGATGGTAAGCATGCAAGGAAATAATCCATCGCTCACCTACCTATGTATTGCTGCTGCTATCATCGCTAGCTCTGGCACCGTCGACGTCATCATGTATACATTGACTCGCAAAGCACTGCTACTTGACTCTGAGCTGTCTCGGCCGTCTGAAAAGGGAGGTTCCGGCTCGAATGCCCGTCATAGCCAAATAACGTCTACTGCCCCGGATCCTCGGAAACCCAAGGGGTACGAGCTCAAGAAGTTGAACAAAAACAATACGAAGAATCCTGCCTTTTTTGCCGATCAATCAACAGACGACATTATTGATCAGCTTGAGAAGGGTGGTTTTGGTAAAGTGTACCAACAGACCACGATTGAAATTATCCATGAGCCTGCTGGATTAGACAATAATGAACCACCTTCTTCCTCGACTTCGATTGATCAAGCTGTGATCGCCAGGGGTCCCTCTCCCCAGCCAGGTCAACCATGGGGAGGCGAGTGGAAATGATTTGATACTCTCCATCTCGCAGCAATAGCTATTTTGTGGCCATACGTTCTGACTTTTTTTTTTTCTACCTCTCTACTCTCTCTTTGGGAGCAGGCCTTCTGAGCAGGGAAGGGATAACGACTCATCACCAGGATTCAGCCAGTTCCTTTCAATTTTATTTCTTTGTTAATCGACGGGTAATTTTCTCACTTACCGGCATCCTTGATTCGATTCTTATCACTGGGGAAACACTGGGTTCTTTACTGACTCGCATATTTTTCTTTTCCGTACATTTACTTACTGGGAGTTTGTTATGTTTATGCCCTGCACCAGCCCCTTTTTTCGTGTTTTATAAGGCAAGATACCCACTTCAAACGGCAGTGATATTTAGAATGCACCTACATATTAATGTATTTCATCTCCTTTCTTCACATATGTATGTATACATACATGTATATACCTTGTAATAATTACGTTGATCCTGCGAATGTGTGACTTGAAAAATACTGTTCTCTATCCAAGCTGCGCCTGGCCATTACTCTCACCGCTCTGCGAATACTAAGCAGAATGCGTCTTTGTGCGTACATACATGTAATTATCATCTCCCAGATTCCTGGTATAATCCTCTAGCAAATCGCAATAAGCTGGTTTTTGGATAGCTACTCAAAGGTAGGCATTCGCGTAATTCTAGTTGTATTACTCTGGTATAAAGGAGAGCTGATGGTAAAAGGTTATATACACAAGTTATAATAATACAAAATTACGCACCAAACCCGAGATTGGAGTACTTGAGATAAATATAAACCATAACCGTAGCCCCCAGTAATTAACAAATAACGACCGATTGAACGAGTATTCAAAAAAAAAAAAAAAAGAAAAGAAAAGAAAAAAGAAAAGAAAAGAAAGAAAACCATTGGGAAACGTCAAGTGGGAATATACGGAGGTATTGCACCATCACTCCTGCTTTTTATAAAGACGTGGCTGATGCACGCAAAGTCGCAAACAGATGCGGACCCATAACTTTCTACTCGTCATATTGTTCATCACCATCGCCGTCATCACCTTTTAGCATCATGGCAGCACCGCCTCCTCTACCGCCTTTAACACCATCCTTACGGATCGGAATTTTTATTCCCTGAATAGCAAAACATTTGCTCAACGGTGTGCTCTCGATGACACCTGGAAACTTCTTTGCCGAGAAGACTTGCAGAACGTCTGAATAGACAGACGCAAGAACTGGAGCTGAGCCGTGGTTAAGGACTGGGGTACTGCTTGAAGTATTTCCAGAGCGACTGAGAGCTTGTTGGGGAGTTCCCACGTTGACGAAGTTCATTTTCAATCTAATGACTGGGTTAGCGGCTACTTGGAGCAAAGATGGTAGAGTCATACGAATAGAACATACCGGAACATTCCCTCAGTACGAACACTCAGGTCCTGCAGGATGAACCAGATTCCAAGCTTTCCGGCGGGATCAGAAAGTTTGAAAGCGCTCGCGCTCAGGCTTCCAATCAAATTGCGAGTAAACATACCGACAGGTGCAGGAGGCAAATGGTGCACAACTGGCTGCTGTGATTGCGATGTATAATATCCTTGATTGACATGGGGATAGTAACTCTGGGCAGGACCAGACTGAGGAGCAGGATATGGCATGCCTGTCTGGGCTGCATAGCTCTGGGTGGGGTAGTAGGAGTAAGTGGTTGGTGGAGGCTGGCTATACATGCTTTGGGGTTGATAGGACGAATATGCCTGGCCTGTTGGGGCCATGTTCTGGGTTGGTGGTGGGAAAGAAGACGATGTTGCAGTTGAGATGGAAGGCGAGGTCGCAGAATGTCTAACAAGATTGACTTCACGATCACCCTCTGCATTCCAAAGATCAACGGTAAGGACAAAGAACGTTGTGTCAATTTCACTGTCACCGTTTGGTTAGTACATGTAGCAGGAAGGTGACCGTACTTGAATGCTAGATTGCCACATACTCTGCTTCTACTTCCTGTTTTGTGGTGGCATCTCTAACAATGAGACGAACACAGGGTGGAGGAGTGATAGGACGGCGATCCTGAGAGTTGTTAGCGGTACTACTGAGATAAAATACGTGAACAGCAGGGGAAACAGCATACCTTATCGCCGAACCCGCACATACGCGCGCGTATAGGTTGCTGCACGACCTCAAGGACATATTCAAAGCCATCGAGGGTGAGAGAGGTATGCTCAGGCTCCGGATGCGGCTGCCGTACAGGGGGAAGAGTTATTGGCGCCTGTGCCTGAGATGGAGGCTGTAGCTGTGGCTGGATCTGGATTTGGGAGAGGGTATGCGAATGGGGCTGTGGATGCTGGTGCTGATGCTGGTGCTGCGGATGTTGCTGCTGCTGCTGCGGCTGCTGTTGCTGCTGTTGCTGATGCTGCTGATGCTGGTGTTGTGGATGGGGAAGAGGGTGAGCTTGGCCTGGGGCTGGAGCTGGAGCTCCTGGGCCTGGCATATACGGCTGGCTCAGAAGATTGTCCATAACCACAGAACACGAAACACGAGACGGGAACGCCCAAAGAACAATGGCGGGGCGACTGAGCTGTGGCGGTGGAGGACACAGCGGTGGACAAGCTCCGCGCGGGCTCTGCTTGACAAGTACTCTAGAATACAGAGGCAGCAGCTCGAGTATACGTACTAGATACACGCGATGCTGGGCAGGCGGACGAGGTTCTCACGGGTGGGAAGTGGAAAGAAGAGCAGAGCGAGGAGGCTTTTTTTCAAGGGTTCGGGGCGGCGCTGATAACTTAAGCGTTCGAGCCAAGCTTTTCCTGATGTCATCACAAACCCACTCTTTAGAGTTAGCGGGGTCATCTGATTCACCCCACTGTCCGTGCTTCTTTATACTCACGTGATAGCGATATAGTCCAGCGTGCGGCTGATCGAGCAATGCGAGAAGCTTCTTGACGGCGACCTCGAGAAGAGAATCGCGAGAATAAGCTTCTTTCAGGCTCGTTTAGCCTCAGGCTCCACATGTTTCAACGAGTCATCGATATCGTACTGAAACATGGGGGTGGCAGAAGTTAATGGAGTTGGCGGCGTGGAAAGCTTGCTTGCTGTTCAGCGATCATTCGATGGTGGGCTCTGGCAGACTCCTAGAAGCCTCAAACTATAAGTGGCTGTCTGGATCGCCAATATTCCTACACATAGAGCTTACATGTGATATTAACGGGGTGTTTCTGAGGGCTTCTGCTGGATGTAGACAAACTATGTATTACAACGGCACAGGAGGTTGCTAGGTGTAGGGTGTTGTGTTACAACATGTTTTTGTATGAGGGGCTGTAGGAGGTCAACCAAGTAATAATCACACATGAGGAAGATGGCAATGCTATAGCATATTATGATGATCAAACATTAAGCTTGTGGTTTCACCTTGCACGGTCCTGGTCCTTAGCCGCTAAGCGCGCTATATTTGGATACTGGCGTGAGTTTAAGGTTCGTCCCAGTTCCACAAGTATAGAGTTCCCATCTGAGAGTAGGGGATAGCATCATTGACTATTCTATACTGTGACTGGGACTTCATCGGTAAAATCGCTGACGTATGAGCTATTGCGCGAGTATGTATTCGCCTCAGCCTTTTCTGACTCTTATGACTCTTCTTCTCTTCTTCTCTTTCCATCTCTCTCTCCTCACCAAAAAATCTCAACACACTATAACTCTACAAACCGCTACTTGCAAGGTAAATTTCAACGCGAGTGCGACATTTAGCCTGAAATATCATATCTAAATTCACTGAACCGTTGGTTAGTTTAAACGCCGAGTTAATATCACTGCTGTGATAACCGACAAGCATCGACATCTCCACTGTGAAAAGCTGACGACTCTCGAAGACATCCCTTCCTGGTATCTTATTCAAACCTATAACTCCCGAAATACCCATTGTGGCATCCCAATACAATAAAGCATTCACGACCCAACTTACCTAAACGAGGCCCGAGAAAACAGCGGATCGCATACTGGGGAAAAAGAATCAAACATCAAAAATAAACGACCAAAGGACGAACCAAGAAAAGACACGATTACGAAAAGCTTCACCATGGATCTCAAGTTCACGAGCGACCAACACCTTGCCATACAGCTCACTCTTGAGAACTCTGACAGGGTAAAGCGCTGGCTGCGCACTCTTCCAGCGAACCCGATCTCCCCCAGCAATGGATCCATCTCCCCAGACTTCGCCAAAGCGCACCTCATGGACAGATGTCGTCACCCAGACTGTGCCTTCCAGGTTCGATTAATATCAGTTCATAACCATACACACCACAAGGGGATGCCTCTGGACCAACTATACCCGGTAGCTTGGACCTCATCTGGTGGCAGCACGAGCACAGGAACCACTTTCTTGACCGCGAAATCCCACCAAACAGCATCAGATGGGGGGGAAACCAAACCAGAAGAACAAAACGAACTAGAGGAATTAAAGGAGCCACAAGAACTAGAGGAACGTGGAGAATCGATGGAACCAGAAGAGTTCGAGGAAACAAAGGAACCAGATGGACTAGACGAACTGCCCATACCGGAAGAACTGGAGGAACTAGATGAACGGAAACGACCAGAAGGTCCTGGAGGACAGGACAAACAAGCAGAGCCTGAGGAACGAGAGGAAGACAAGAAGCTAGAGGAACACAACGTACTAGAGGAACACAACGTACTAGAGGAACACAACGTACTAGAGGTACACAATGTACCAGAGGAAGACGATGAATCGGAGGTACACAACGAACTGGAGAAACACAATGAACCGGAAGAACTGCCGCAACGAAAACAGCCGGATGAACGACCAAGGGAAACAGAGGAGATGGACTATTTAGCGACGAGAGTGAAGGAGAGGATGGAGAAGCCACGGAAGAAGCCACAGAGGAAGCCAGAGGCTCTAGTAAGTACCAATCAATATCAAGCGCAGAAGGAATATTAATAACATATTGCGTTATTAGCACACGCCTTTCGAGATAAACCTGTACCAAGCATCATGGTTTCACAAACTCGACTTGTCCGAAGAGGGCTCTTTACTAGATGAGGAAGATCTAGACTTCCTTGCCTCGAAACCGTTCGAGGAATCCACGCGACGGCAGTTACGGCGGGGCCTTCAGCAGATGTTCAAACCGCCTTCACTACCCATTCGGCCAAGACTAAGGAAATGGAAGCAAGCGGTGATAAAGCGGCTAGGTAAAGGATAGCGGCCTGTGGCCGATACGAAGAGACGGTACTTGAGCGAGACGGTGGGAAACGGGTATCAATTTGCACTTGGATATGGATTTTATGTTGAAGATGGTTGATGTGAAATTTATTTTGTGTGTATTTGGGGATGGCATATATCAAAAACAAAACGAGTGTTGGTGGGCCACCCCACTTAGATTGCATGTACGGTCCATCAAAGGGCGGGCGGTGGGAATAGTGCATTTCAAATCACTATTACTTTGATGGACTTAGATAGCGGAATATAATCAGCTCTTGCTTAAAAAATATCACGGCTACTGGTCAAGATGAAACTGCTTATGTAATAGAGGTAGTATCCTAGTTGACAGTAGCGTAGGAAAAGGACATTTCATTTACTCTAGTAAGCATGTAATTCTCAAAATATCATCATTTTATAGTTACCACGGTAAAAATTGTATTAGCACAAGAACTGGGTCATCAGATAAAGCAAAGGGGAAGGCGAACGTTGAGGGACGAGATTGATACATGCAGGTATATAGGGGGAAACAAGGAACCATGGAAGTATTGAGCACAAGTAAATGATCTATAAAAATGGGGTATTAATGCAAATAGGGAAACAGACAAAATAGAGAGTTTATTTTTGGTTGAGAAGCTTAGGGTGCGAGATGTTCAGGCAGATAACGGCAATCGCAATCATCCTATTTGGAATATGTTAGTCGGTGATAGAGAGTATAAACGGGGCCGGTTGGAAAGCTTACACTCCCTCGAGGATAACAAAGGTGACCTCTTCGTGAATCAGGTCTCCCTCCCAACCCCCACTCAGTTCAGCAACTCGGTAGACGCAACGAGTGAAGATAGTGACGATGGCGACAGTAAATGGAACGGCGAAAGTCACCAGTCGATCACGGCTGATTGGAAGCTTTGGTCGGGCACCCATTTCCTTCTCTTGAAGAGCTCGGGACTTCATCGTACGGATAATGAATCCAAGGGTAAGGAAGATGAAGACGACGAGGGTGATGACCTGGAAAGCCAAGCCGGCAATCATAGTGTTTGTTCCGGGTGCCTGGTCTGTGCCCTTATCGGCGGCAACCGAGGCCAGACCACCACCGGTACCCTGAAGAATCAAGCTGACAAGATCACAAGGAATGAAGATCCAGGCATAATGTTGTGGTTTGATCCATGATGCTTCCTCACCAAAGAGGCGGACGATATCAGCGAGACAGAAGTAAATCGATGCCGAGAAGAAAGCAGGAGCGAGAGTAAGACAGCAGATCTGAATGAGGAAACCATTCTGGCTGAAAGGGTCATCGGCGAGGAGAACACGACCGACGTATCCGATAACTTCAGTCAGACATCCCAGGATCATGGGGATGGAGTAAGAACCGTTTCTGAAAAAGAAGTACTGTAGACAGTGGACAATGCCGGAGGCGGCAAAGATGGCGAGGAGTGCAGCATTGCCGGCCAGCGAGGGCTTGTACTGGTAGATACTCTCCGTTATGGGACAGGTCTCTAGAGTACACTTGTCCATTGTGGAGAATGTAAGGTGGTGGTGACTGGAAGGAAGGTAATCAATAAGGATGTTTAACCAGATGAGAGAAGACTGAGTAGAAGGGTGGTATTTTGCCAACAGGAATGTAAAGATGCTGTAGATATGTCTGGATTGTTTGCTGCTTTGATGATTGTTGCAGTTGCATGAGAAGTTGACGAAGGAGTTGCCATCTTTATATACGAGACAGCTCCGTTCAGCCTGGGAGTTAAAGGGTCTGGTATCAAAAGCAGAACCTCCAGATTCAAACGGAGGCCTAATGCACCGTGTCCATACTAACTAACGCCATGTGCAGGTAAACTTTAGGAAAGCGAAGCGAAGGACATGACTAGGATGCACCGGCATCCATGAAGGTCAACAGGTGCAAGCCACGAGGAGGATCGTCCCTTGGTACAAGGGTTAGCGTCTCTTACGCCCGAGACATCTGGAATGGAAGGATCTATTCTTCCCAACCCAGATCATGTCAAGGCCAGTTAAACTCCACGGCTAGGCTGCGCTTAAGATTTAACCTCTTGCATGGCTCAAAGGCTTTGCATAACCTCGTGGCGGGTATCCTGTCAGAGCTTTGTCTCGAGCTTCAAGCAGTGCAGCGACAGTAAAGAACTTACGTATTTCATATCCTAATTTTGAGCCCGGAAGCCAGGGCAGCCATGCAAAGAGGGTTAATTGCGGATATATATCGGTCCACTACCGATAACCAAATACCTGAGGAACGGTACGTTAGCCGACAACATGACAGAAACTGCGTGATCGACAGCTGGATTGACCCATCTGCTGTGTATAAAGCGCCGTCTCGCTTTAATATTTCTTCATCTTTCACCTGGCGATCATCCGGGAGATGAGTGTCCTTGCGGCATGAGCAAGATAAGGTTGTGATGATTCATCGGGCTGTTGGGCTGGATGAGTTTAACCTATGCCAAGGCCCGTAATGCTTCCCTTAAGTGCGTAAACTAAACCGCAAGTGGCATTCTCTCCATCTGGAGGCGCAGCATTGTAGCTACAGCCTTTGAACGGATTTTACCCAGAGCTGATTTTAGCGAACGGAGATAAGTTGGGATATTATTGGCATGAATTCTACCGCCGCAGCTGGCTATCCTGTAACCGTTTCAGGATTGTTTTGCGAGCCCAAGAGGTTGTGGGTTACGCAATTCTCCAGGGTAGAATCCTTCAAGTAGTTATCACTTGGCCACGACATGTCTGTGTGTTTGGCATTCAGATATGGTTGTCTGGATGTTGACTACTAAAGGAAACTTGCATGGAGGATGCGACTTGTCAAGCGAGAATTGACATGAATGACATCTCGTTAAGATCGAACCTCTGCCGTCGGCACAGGTAACATCTATCTTCACCTCTCTTCTCCTAACACACCACGTTGTGGTGGCCGTGTGAGGGCAGTCTTGGTCCTTTATATGTAAGTATGGGCCTCGACGTTAAGTCAGTCTGGGCGATTGAACTTGAGTCAACACAACGCTCCGCTGAAATATGGAGAAGAACTCGGACCGTCGTGGTATAATCGCAGGGCGAGTGGCGTAAGTGAGTCTAGACCGTATAGTCCTCTCAATCCTAGCATATCAAATCGGTCAGCTTGAGCAGCAAAATAATATGTAATCTGAACTAATCCATGATCTAGAGAGAAGAAGAAGCAAGCAAGCAAGCACTTCAGCCTTTTTCTAACCAAGAAGAAGGCCAGGACTTTATCCCTGTGGCGCGCTCTTGCTGCCTCGCTGACTCGTCTAGCATGCATTGCTGTCTCCATCCCGACGCCGACATGAAGCCGCTCACCGCGGTAAAGATGACTTCCTGTCACTGTCAACGTCGAAGATGAAACCAGCAGAAGCGCTATAAAAATAAAAATTGCCCTTTCGATGTTGTTTTCGTGGTGCTGGTAATGCCTGCACGCTGATTGGCTGGGGTCGCTGACATAACCGACTTTGCCCGAAGAACTCGCCCATCCGAGGTTGCAAGAGAAAGACATTCGAACTTCAACCATCGACCATCGACGGCGACGACGAGCTGCAGTAGCACAGTGTGCAAGCGCTAACCGATATTTCGTGCATCAATTGCTAGTCTGTGGAATAGCTAGAGGCCGACTGTTCTGATTCCGGGCTCTTGTCTGCTTGAAAACACACACCCGTCGTTGGGAACGAACGAACTTCACTCCGTCCACCATGGCATCTCTCCGCTCAACTTCTCGTCTCCTCCGGGGCTCAAGCGCTCTCATGCGACCCGTCATGGCCTCTCGATCGTATGCCACCGTTGAGGCGAGCGCAAAGCCCACAGAGGCCTCCTCCGCGCCCACCAGTGCACCGGCACCAAAGATGAAGACCTTCAAGATTTATCGATGGAACCCTGACGAGCCAACCGCAAAACCTCGCATGCAGACGTACACTATCGATTTGAACAAGACTGGTCCCATGGTTTTGGATGCTTTGATCAGGATCAAGAATGAAGACGATCCGACCTTGACGTTTAGGAGAAGCTGCAGAGAGGGTATTTGTGGAAGTTGTGCGATGAACATTGACGGAGTAAACACTCTCGCATGTCTCTGTAAGTCCAATACATCAATTCGCCATGGGGCAATTTGTGACATGATGTATGATGGAACTGACAATTTGAAATCCAGGCCGCACTCCTACCGACACTACCAAGGAGACTCGCATCTATCCTCTGCCTCACACCTATGTTGTCAAGGACCTTGTTCCAGACATGACACAATTTTACAAGCAGTACAAGTCTATCAAGCCTTATCTGCAACGTGATACTCCATCTCCCGATGTAAGTCGCATGTTTGGGTTACGTGTGGAAGTAGACGATTTGATCCTAACCAGCTATCTTTTAAAAAGGGTCGTGAAAACCGCCAGTCGCCAGCTGACCGAAAGAAGCTTGATGGACTGTATGAATGTATTCTCTGTGCTTGCTGCTCGACCTCTTGCCCCTCCTACTGGTGGAACAGTGAAGAATACCTTGGACCTGCTCTCCTCCTCCAATCCTACAGATGGCTGATTGACTCTCGAGACGAGCGAACTGAACAGCGCAAGGCTGCTCTCGACAACAGCATGAGCGTGTACAGATGCCACACCATTCTTAACTGCTCGAGAACCTGTCCCAAGGGTCTGAACCCCGGAAAAGCCATTGCTGAAATCAAGAAAATGATGTCCTTCAACTAAAATGCAAATACCCTTGGCTACCACTACACCTGGTTATTTATACGCTTCATATACTGACTCCCACAATCTTGTTATACTTACCCTCTGTATCTCATAGCTTTCCGCGTGTCTCTTTTTGCCCATCTAGCATTACCAATATTATTTCCTCTGTTCCGAAATATTTTTCTTCCCGCCTGTGCTGGTTTTGCCCTCTGTTTCTTCTGCTGTCTGTCGTTAGTATGGCGATAAGAATACCAGCTATTTCCCTGTACATATATGAAATTGAAACGAGGATCAGATACCAGCCTATTGCTTCTTTGGTTCACATATATACATCTATCCTATGGCCTCTCTAGGCAGCCTTCCCTGCCGAGCCCAGAAGATCCATTGATCTCTCGACAGCTCGTTGCATGGCATCAGTCGCCAATTCATGCAACTTAGTGATTGGTACACGGCCAGCAAACTCCTTCTGCACCTTCATATACTCGTTGTTCATGACCTTATTAATATTCACTTTCGACACACCACACTCAATGCATTTCTCGAAAATCTCCTTCGTCATCGGATCAGCACCGTGGAGAACCAACTTCGTCTTCTTTCCCACTGCCTTATTGATTCTCTGGAGTCGGTCGTAATCCAACTGTATGCCTCGTGGGCCATACTCGCCATGCACGTTTCCAAACGCAGGGGCCAGCCAGTCAATTCCTGTATCGACGAATTCCTGGCTCTCTTCTGGCGTAGTCAGTAGGCCCTCTAGATCAGCCGTATCAGCAACACCGTCCTCCCCACCTTCGATACGGCCTGGCTCTGCCTCGGTGGCGATTCCCCGAGCATTGCAGTATTCCACCAATTCTCGGGTAAGAGCTAGGTTTTCTGCCTTTTCATAGTGTGACATGTCGACCATGATGCTGTCGAAGGTAGGAGACATGTCGGCAGCCCGTTTGATGATTTCAGGGCTCTGGGCGTGGTCCATGTGGAGTGTTACGGGAACTGAGGCGTTGCGACATGCTCTTGCGGCAGCCTGCACGAGCAACCCGTCGGCGTACTCGATGGCCCAGGGGAAGAGAAGAACCATGGCCGGGGACCTTTTGGCCTCAGCGGCGCGAACAGTGGCCAGAATACCTTCGAGGTTATAGCAACACATGCCTGGGACAGCATATTTGCCTGCCACGGCTGCATCGAGGAGGGGCAGCGCCCTGTTATCTTTTAGTGATGGGTGCGGCATATTGTAGGTATTTTCCTTGATAAAACTGTGTCCGGGAAGCTGTAGGGTATTGAGTTGACGGGTTTATTCTAAGAATTGCATCGTCTTATGGGTGAAGAAGGTGGTTAATGAATGCTTTGGTCTGTACGGAGTGTGGGAGTTCGTCCGGGGAGGCACCGGGACAGCTCCGGAGTATGGATGGATCTGCAGCGAAAGCTTGGGCGGACGAAACGCTCTAGACAAAATTCCGAGTGTGAAATTTGCCTGCTCCGGCATATTCTCATGGCAGTATTTGCTTATTGATGTGTTTTGATGACAGTCGCGGCAGTAAAGAATGGATAAAAGTAAAAC